GTTTAGAAGAATGAGATGAGAATCTTATAGAAACAATGAAATTCTAACAGGACTAGACAGGGTAAATGCAGAAAATATGTTCCCAGTGACTGGGGAGTCCATAACCAGAAGTCAGTGTAGTGATACAGGGTAGACCATTTAGGTCTGAGGTGAGGAGAAATTTCTTCACCCAGACAGCGATGAGCCTGTGGAATTCCCTGCCACAGAAAGTAGTTGAGGCCAGAACGTCAAATGTTTTCATGAAGGAATTACATATAGTTCTTCAAGCTAATGGGACCTAAGTGTATCAGGAGAAAACAAGACCCGTTGGATGACCAGCTGTGATAATATTCAATTACACAGCAGACTTGAAGGATCAAATGGCCTGCTCCTCCTACTTTGCTGTGTTTCTATGTTTATCTGCCTGTGATTGCTGACAGTTCTCTTCATTGGAATTACATTGTCTATGTTTGCGTTTGCCAACACCGATGTGTTGCCTGTACACAAATCCATGCAATTTGAATATACAGGAACAGCGCTGGTGTCAGTACCGGCCCTGAGAACATCACTGTTTACACACTCATCCAAAAACAATACATAATGACTACCGTCAATTTTCTATATGCAGCCAGTTTCATATCCATGCTACACACCATTTTTAAAATTGCATACCTCCTTCGCAACAAGCTTCCCGTGTGGCATGTTATCGGATACCGTTTAAAATTTCTTACAAACAGCATCCACTGCATCTTTAACAGTGGTATTTCCTCAAAGAATTAAAATATATTAACCAAAACTTGGCTATTCCAAATCTATTCTTTAATTAACTATTGTTATGATTGCTCCTTTTTGGTTCAATGTATTTCTGTTGTCGAATTATGCCTCTTTTTCTACATCGAAGGCATTGTAGGAATACAAGCTGTTTTTGTTGTGCTTTGGCCACCAGAAGTTTATCTGCTATTGATGTTAGGCTGTTTGGTTTCTAGCTAATTTGCTTATCATTTTCTCCCAGTTTAAACAGAGGTGCTATAATGCCAATCCTGCATGTACTGCAAGTTGCATGTCTAAGGAAACTTGTGCTGTGACCTTATTTCAGCATCAGGGCCTTTGCACTTTAGAGATCTTCCAGTGCTTTTCCAATTCTACTACACTGTCCAAATAACTGCTAAGTTCGCTGTATTTATCCTTCTAAACCTCCTTCCTACTTCACCACACACAACACAAACTAAAAAAAACTTATGAAATATCTCTATTAATTTTCATCCTCCATAAGCTTTCTTTTTAAGCTCTAATCTTTCATTTCCCCATGTTTTATCTATTTAAATTATTTTATTATTTTATGCCCACCTTATTCTACGTATCTCTTAGTTTTTCTGAATCTTTTGTGTTTTCACTTAAATCCTACATTTTAGCATTTTTTTTATAATGCCATGCTCGGATTTATCAAATGCCGGTTTTTATAAATCTCACTACTTTTATTTTTCTGTTCAGACAAGAGGTTCCAGTTTTGCTGCATTGTATTTCCTGCTTAAGACAATTGATCCAGTCTGTACCTTAATTATTTCCTCCTCATTAATTCTTTCTAGTAGTTTATGCCTGTGTATTGTTTTACAGTTTAAGTAATAATAGTGTAGATAAAATCTAATGCAAAGAATACTGCCTCAAGTTCTCTTGTTAAACTACTTGTATAATAGCCAAAATTAAATCTGTTAATTTTCAGCAATAGCTTTCAATGTAGCAACATTTCCCAAGTTGCCTCATAGATGTCCAAATTTAACACCAAGCTAGATCAGAAATAAAAACAAAGTGCTGGAGAAATTCAGCAGGTCTGGTAGCATCTGTGTAGTGAGGAACAGATTTAATATTTCAAGTCCAATATGACTGCTGTTCAGAATTGAAGCTGGCTGGAAAATGATAGTATTTGTGCTGTTGACAGAGGAGAAAGAAGAGAAAGTGGAACAGGTGGTGAGGGTGCCCCAGAGCACAAAGGCAAAAGGAGTGTTAATGGTAGTAGAGGAATGATATATGCAGATAGGTATTAATGATAGGTGTGACTAGTAAAAAATAGCTTCGCTCTGGGGAGGGAAAGCCCATGGAAACAAGACACTTGGTTTGGTGACGGTACTGTTGGGGCCAAGGGGAGTTGATGTTGGGAGAAAGAAAGAGGACATCCTCAAAATGGAGGACAGTGCTCAGGCTCTGAAGTTAAGCTATAAAATGCCTAAGCAGCAAACAAGGCGTTGTTCCTTCTAAGTGTTGTTGCTTGCATTGGGCTTTGCTGGAGTACTGCAACAGGCCTCGGACAGAAATATTAGCATGGGAGCAACATTATGTTTTGAAATGGCCAGCAACTGGAAGGGCAGAGGTCATTCCTATGAGCAGAGCCGAGGTGTTCTACAAGACATCACCAAGTCTGTGTTTGATCTCACTACATTAAGGAAGCCATGTACTGAGCAGCAAGTTCAGTAGATTAGATTGAAAAAGCAAATTTCTGCTTCATCTCCGAGGACTGTTTGGGACCCTGGACAGTGAGGAAGGACAAGGTAAAAGAGCAAGTGTTATACCTTCTGCAATTGCATGGGAACATGCCATGTGGAATGGTGGTGGCAAAGGGTTTGGAATGAAGGAGGTGTGGAGGGATGCTGTTAGGGGGTGGCAACATCGACAGTCATTGAGGAAGGAGATGTGGTTTTGAAAGCAAGTTTTGGTAAGCCCCTTATAAAACTCTAGGAGGGAAATAGAAACTAATAAAGGTGATCAAGCTGAGAAGTTTAAATGGAATTGTTTCAGAGATAGTAGGAACTGCAGATGCTGGAGAATCTGAGATAACAAGATGTAGAGCTGGATGAACACAACAGGCCGAGCAGGAAAGCTGACGTTTCATGGGTCTAGACCCGAAACGTCGGCTTTCCTGCTCCTCTGATGCTGTTTGGCCTGCTGTGTTCATCCAGCTCTACACCTTGTTATCTAAGTTTAAATGGAAACCTTGTTAGAGATAAAGCAGAACTTCAAGGTAGGCATACCTGTAAATTTGTGGCAATAAATTAACCACTCGCATAAAAGCAAGTCCTAGGGATGCTGGATATCTGACATAAAAACAAAAAGCTGGAGAAACTCAGCAGGTCTGGCAGATTTTGGACAGGAGAGAAACAATTACCATTTTGAGTCTGATATGACTCAACTTTGGGATATTGAGGAAATATTAGATAGGTTGGTCAAAAAGAGAGGTTCTAAAGATGAGAGATTTGGAAAGGCAAACTGGGTTATGGAGGAATTTGCTAAGTTTAGGACCTAGCTGTATGTAAAGCCACTAATAATGAAGTGTTGAAAATGAATATTGCTTAAGAACCCAGAATTAGTGCAGCACGGAGATTTTAGAGGGCTGTAGTTCTGAGGAGTTCACAGTCAGGGAAAGATGTTGAGTCATGTAGGGCTTTGAAGACAATAGTTAGAATTGTAAAACCAAGGGCCAGGAATCAACCTCTAATAAACACCTCTGTTTTGGCTTTTTCTTAAAGTGGTATAGTCACTCATTATGTTTACCTTTTTTTCATATTAGTTTCTGATTTCTTCCTCTCTTTATTTTGATAGGTTCATTTAATATTATCCACTCTTCATCACAAAGTGGTGGATTTTTCAAGAGTAAAATTAGCTTAATTCCAGAAGTTGATTGTATTTCTTACACAGTATTAGTCCCTTTTAAGTGTGTTACATCAGACTGAAAGATGTTGCAGAAGTAGATATAGCCTTGTTTAATGACCTGACACCAGCAGCTGGCCAACCTCTAGCACTTATCGCATAGAAAAGCAAGAGAACTCATTTAAAGTGCCACACGTAGCAGCAGGTCATTTGCCTGCAGATTATTTGTTTGATGTTGCTGCAGAGTGCCTGAAGAGGAGGTCATTCTTTTCCCAATGCTGTTGGCTTTTCAGTATTAGACACTGATTTTGTTTTTGTTTTAACAGCCCTTTTATTGAAAGGGAAACTTCAAGGGTGGCAGGTTGTACTTTTGTAATTAAATAGACAGCAGCTTCCTTCAAAAGGGTATTTTAGGAAATCGTGAGTACGATGTATTAGTAACTTTCCAAGATGCAATCCCTGCATCCAGTGCCAGCCTCTGGAAGGAGGGCCAAATTTTATCTGTCACCTGTTTTGATCTGTATGGACTGATGTTTGTGGTAATTTAAGAACTTTGTGCAGAACTAATGCTTTGAAATCTAATGGTCTGAAGATCCTAGCTTTTAATACCTCATGCAGCAAATCCTAATTCAGTTGCAAAATTTCTTTGAATATTCATTATGTGGTATAACAATGGTTGCTATTATAAACAACCCCAGTTGGTAATACCATTCAAATGAAAAAATTCAAGAAAGTTGCAAAATGAGGCGTGGAAGCAATATTTTGAGTCTGAAGAATGTCAGATAATTTAGAAAGCTATCTAACGTTTATGACGTTTTCACCCTCATAGGTTACCAGGTATTTTAAATTTAATTTCTTTTCTCCTGTCTCCACAAACTATACAAAACTGCTAGAATAGTATTAGTTTGAGTTTTGCCAACCAGTATCTTCAACGCAAACTATTGCAAATCAGCATTTGGGCCAGGCTTGAGTGCTTATCAGGAAGCGGATGAACCAGGGAAAATCAACATTACGCTGATCTTGACAACGCAGGTTATTTTTAGCATTGATGTTGATGAACTGTAGAACTTCCATTGGACTCCGGGGATGCTTGTAAACACTAATGTTGGTGAAGTAGCTACATCTGGTGTGTAATTCCCAAACAACTTCCCTTGTGGAAGCAATGAAGTAAATCTAACACTTTCCAATGGATCCTTCTTTTTAGAAAATACACTGTTTACCTGAAGTAGTACTGTTTTTGTTTTTTGTTTGCTGTTTTCTTACAATCAATATTGTAGCAAATGAATTCAAAACATGTGGTGATATTAAGCTGCAGAAGTATCAATAAATTTAACACTCAAGGATCTATTAAAAGCTGACCATGGTTCTCTTTGAATTTTTAGGTCTCAGCTATTGCCTCTTGGGACTCATCAGTCCACGATTCCATATACTTGAACAAAGTTACCCCACAGAATGAGCGTATCTATTTGATTGTAAAGACTACAGTGCAGCTCAGCCATCCAGCTGCTGTGGAGTTGGTGTTACGCAAGCGTATAGCTGTTAATATTTACAATAAGCAGGTATGAAGGTGTTGATATGTTTTTTTTAAAATATATTTCCACATGGGTGCGACATCACTTCCCATGACTTCTCCGACTAATGGATTACAACAAGGAACTCTGCTAGTGCCCCATCATCTTGACATCAAAGGAGAACAGGCAACCTGATACATCAGATCCTGTAAATTACCTATCACATAATAATGTAGATACTTCTGACTCTGCCTCAGTAAATAGCTACAACTGTCATTGTGGGAACAGTACGCATTAACATCTGTCCAGTCTGGGAGGAGAGTGGCATACCAGCTGGCATATATTTTGTTGCTTAGGTTACAACTGCTTTATTGCACCAAAGTATTTGGCTGCAGTCCTTTTGTAAAGATAGCCTGAATCCTAAGTCAGAATCTTCTTGATGGGTAACTGGCATCTGGCAACACAAGCTACAAGGAATGAGACTTGCTGGAGGATTTAGTTTTGCCTGTTGAGCATTTCACAACTTTAGTTTTAAGCTTTGCACTGACATTATGTTGCAGTGAAACCCAGGTTATGTGAATTGTTTAATATATTTGTTCTTAGGATGTGGGCAAACAACCCTATTTCCACTGAGAAGAATGTGATGGTCTAGTCCTTGCATATTGCAACGTTTGGCATTTGGGAGGGAATTCCAGGATATTGACTGTAAAAGAAATGCCAAAAATCTAAACTGAGCTAGTGCTTGCCTTGGAACTGATATTCCCATAATTATACAGGCCTTGGTTTTCTTTGTAATAGAGGTTTTGGGGAAGAAGATACTGTTCAGTTATCTTGAGTGAGTTGCTGCAGTGTAAGATCTGTTTTGAATGTACAAAGTGTAGCCACAGAGTGCTAGTGGTGATAGATATTAGTTAACTAAACTGTTGTGCCCTGTATGGTGTTGAACTACTTGGGTTGCAATTGCACATTAATAGATGAGTGATTATTATTCCCCACTCCTACCCACTCTTATTTGAGCTGTGACTGATGTAAGCGATAAGCCATGCAGCCACACATTCTATATTATTCAACTTGTATTTGGCCGTTGCAGTTGTTTAAGCAAGATCTGTGTTTTTCTTAACTGTTTTTAAACAAGTTTGTAGACATTTTTAAGAAAAATTTTAATAGTTTTAAAATCAAAAGTGATCAGGGATATATGAGATCCACCAAGGTGATGCCAGCAATGGGAAGGGATAATAGAGTGAACAAAAGAGGCGATTTTTGTTCTATATATTTTTACATTCAAGTTTTGTTCCTAGAAAAGCAACTGATTTTTTTTTTGATGAACGAAATTATTAATTCAAAATGCTTCTTTGGAAACTTGCTTTACAGAGTTTCACACAGAGTCTGAAACGAAGAATGTCCTACAAACACATTCTTCATTCCTGTGGCGTTACCTATGAAATAGTATCCAACATACCCAAGGTAAGTCTATGTTCAATTCTGTGAGAAAGCTGTGACTATGAGCTAATGAACAAATATGTTTTCCTATGGAGTACAGCTCCAGTAATTGCACTATGAATAAATAATACTAAAATTGTGGAAAAAAGGTTTTTTTATTTGAAACCTGTCCTTGAATCCCACCACACAGAAGATGTGTTCTTAGTCCATTAGCCTCAATGACCCTGTTTAAAATAAGCTTAGGTAGTTTTAAACAGTTCATGTGAATCTCAAGTGCAAAATTTGCCTATAGTTCAGCAAAGATCAGTATTAAAATGGCACTGTCATTGAGTAAGTAGGCATGTGAAATGTGTTTGCAAGGGGGTTTTAAGATTTATTCCGCAGCCAAGTCAAATGCAACCTCACCTGGAAGTTTGAAATAAAATAAAGTGCTGGAGAGACTTGACAGTCGGGCAGTATCACTGGAGAGAAACAGAGTATGCGTTCCCGTCCTGTATTACTCTTTTATGGAATCTGAGAAGTATTTTGCTTTTACTCACATGGATGTTGTCAGCACTTATGCTAAAGTGGAGATCATTTATCCTGAAATCTGTCCTTGATGACCTTCGAATTCACCCAGAGTTACACTCTAAAGAATTTTATTGGTGGAAGCTCAGAAAAGCTTAATCCAAAGCATTTCTGCAAATAGAAGCTCTGTATATATTAGTTCTGAATGATCAAAGGGACTTTGGTGAGCTCATAATGTTTTTAGCTCATATCCTAAAAGCTGGCCTTGCACATCAATGTTTCATGCTCATTAAAATGCACTGCAGTTGACAATTTTTAATTCTAATTTTTACATGCAGCTGACATGTATAATGTTTCAAAAGACACATACTTTTTCCAAAAATATACTTTATTCATGAAGTACATTATTTAACAGTTTATTTGTATGTGACATCACTAAATGAATTGCAGTTCAGTTTCTTTCATAACAGTATGTAGCACTCTGAAGTGTGCTGAGGCATATCAATTTCAGGTTATTTACAATGTACATAACATTCCTGTCTACAGACTTGCTGCAGTCTTTGGTTTTGGAAAGCCAAGTTGTAAGGTTTCCAAATTGTTGTTCATCACTAAATGCATTTTTTTAATACTGTGTGTAAATTATAAATCTAAGGTAAACTAAATGCAAAATTGTTCTCCAGTTGGAAGTGCTGAGGTTTAACAAACAATTTGATGTGTGTTTGACAGCGGATATATTGAACTGAGAACCATTTTTGCTTTCTTACTGAAAAGCAAGCATGTAAAATGCAGGGCTCGTCCTTAGAACTTCTGTTCTATGCTGTTTACTGCATGGCTATTCTATTTATTCGGTTCAAACGTGTCATCTGATTCTAACTGGTTTTAATTACTTTTTTTTCATTAAGAGACATTCTGTTAAAAACTAATATCCAGATCCATGTGTCTGTGAATGCTTCTGGCTTTCTGGAAGTAGTGTCACTTCCTCTGAATTGGTTATCACCATTGCTATTTATAAATAATCGATTGAATATGGTAATTGAATATGACTGGCTATTGAAGTGCGGTACCTCTGTTGAGTCATCAGAAGAAAAGAACATCTAGAAGAAAATTATACTTTTCAAAAAGTAATGCCTGATTTTTTTTTTAAGTTCAGTAATTACCAAGGGAAAATAGCCTAAAATAATTCCTAATCAAAATCTTCATCTCTGTGGCTGCCCTCTAGTGGTGACTATTTGAAGAAAGAAAAATGCATTTAAATTGCATTTTTCATAATTTCAGGATGTCCAAAGTGCTTTGCAGCTAATGGAGTATTTTTGCTGTGTAGTCACTTGTATAACATGGGAAATGCAGCAGTCAGCTTGAATTGTGTAAGCTTCCATAAGCAGCAATATGACAATGTGCAGATAATCTTTTTCTTTAAATTGGTATTTATCGACGGAAAGATATTATGTAGGCCATTGAGGACAAGTTCCCTTTTTTTTTTTTTGCTTTTTAATGATGTCCTGGGACCTTCTAAGTTTGTTTTTGACAACAGACAGGGCCTTACTTTAATGTCTCAGCTGAAAGCCAGTATCTCTGACGGTGCAGTACACCCTCAGTACTGCATTGAAGTGTCAGCTTAAATTTCTTTACTAAATGACTGGAGTGGGGCTTGAAACCTGTAGTCGTCTGATATGGGGGCAACAGCCACAGATGACACTTAGAAACTCACAGGAATTGTTTTCTTTATTATTCATTCATGAGACGTGGCCATCACTGGCTGGGCCAGAATTGATTGCCTATCCCTCATTGCACTTGAGAAGGTGGTGGTGAGCTGCTTTCTTGAACCGCTGCAGGTAGTCCATGCTGTTAGGGAGAGAATTTCAGGATTTTGACCTAGTGATATACAGTGATATATTTCCAAAATTGATTAACTTTGAGATTTGATTTTGAACCAATGCTCTGCAAAGATTTGAAAAATAATGTAATTGCTAATGTATTGATTAATCTCTTATTGTATTTCTCAGATACAATGTTTTTCTTGAATAGGCCTCAAGTGATTTGCAGATATTTTTAATCAACCTATTCTGACATGTTATGATTTGTGTCTTTGGAAGGTGCGACTTCAACCCATGTCTTTTGGCCCATAGGTAGAGACATCACCACTATGCCAAAAGACCCCTCTTCAGGTGGCTTGTATCTTGCGCTACGTCTATTCATTACTTTAGTACAGAACCCAAGCCTTGATAAATCCAAGAATTTGTTTCAGTTCAAATTTTGGGTAGAATTGGCACAATTAATCTACAATCTTTTGATATAAAGAGTTATTTCATGCTAAAATTTACAGTTCTTGATATGGAGGTGTGATGGCTGACACGCTGTCTCAAAGAACATGTTCCCACTTCATCCTGAGTTTTCAGATGTTATTAAGAAATTCCCTTTCTCTCTGCAGGCTTCTGAAGAAGCAGAGGATCGAGAAACTTTGGCACTTATGGCAGCAAAGAGTGAAAATGATAGTTCAGGTGACGGAGAAACGTACATTGAAAAGTACACAAGAGGAGTGCTAGAGGTGGAAAACATCCTTAGTCTGGAACGACTCAGACAGGTGAGTGTTTTTATATTTTTTTTAAATGTTGGGAGAAAGCAGAGTTAATGTTTCAAATCTGGTGACTCTTCATCAGAGTTTATCTCAGAGTTTGATTCATTGCCACATGTCTTCTAGGTATGCCCACCTTGAAGAGGTTTTGCTGCTGCCTCTGAGGGGATTTCCATCCTAACCTTTCATTATCTCTCCTAATATTTGACAAAGTCCTTTCTAAAACTGGCTTCCACAGCCACCTCTCATTTCTCGGTGACTTCCTGCAGCTCAGACTCACTCCTTGTGGATTCTGACTGAAGTTTTGTTCTTCGTGTTTCAAATCCACCCAGGATTGTAGGTATCACTGATGTACGATGCTCCTCAGACAGCTGCTCTCACTACATCCTGGGATCCATACTCCGTGCTATGCATTGCCATTTGCACACTCTTGATCTTTCTCTCCGTCAGCACCATTGGCTGTCCTGCCAATCCCCAGTTCCACTTCATTCTCCAACTCATTCCATGTTCTAACAAAAAACTTTCACTTGCTGTCAGGCTTTAGGAAACACAAGCTGCAACAGCTCAGACCCATGTTCTTGTGGAACATTCCTTCCCTTTGACTCCATCCTTTCTTCTAACCCCACCTTTTGTTGAGTATTTACTATTCCTTTTGATCTTCTGCTCTCTGGTGAATGTTCTGTGCTTAGCAAGGGTCTTAGTTTTATTCTTCTTGTCCCCCATTCGATGAATTTTGGGTATGACATGACATTGAACTTTTCATATCTGTCGTCACTGCCTGCGTGTCCATTTCATTTGGGGACTCCTCTCCCCGTCCCACAGCTGGCTTCACCTGGTCCAACATTCTCCCTCCGCCTAGACCCCTCCTTTTGGCCTTTTACCAGCACCTGACTTGCTCATTGAGAACTGATGAGGTGACATTGGTTGCCTTAATTTCTCCGCCCCTTTTGTCCATTCAAACCTATCCACCTCTGAACTGACTGCACTCCTTGCTTTCAGGTCTAATCCTAACTTTTCATTATAAAGCCTACTGACAAGGGTGGAGCTGTTGTCTCAGACACCTCCTTATGTCACCCCTGGGCCATGACACTGCTATCAAACTTCAGGCCTTAATGTCCACAACTGTCACCAACGTCATTTCATTTCAGAATCTCCCCTTACCTCCCACAGCCTCCAAAATTCATTGTCCGCCAATCCCATACATTTCTCTTCTACCTTCGCCCAGGAGGAAAAAAAAACGTTCTGAAGATTTATTGGAATTGAAACATTAACTTGGCTTTCTCTGATAGATGCTGCCAGATATGCTGTGTTTTGCCAGCGATTGCTATTTTTCTTCCTGATCTCTAGCATCCACAGTTGTTTGTTCTAATTTAGTTAAGATTTTGTATGCTATCTAGACTTGAGTTATTTTGGAATAAAGTAGTATCTTCAAAATAACTATAAATAAATATAAATACCTCTTTTAAAAGTAACTCATTTATTGTTAGTTAAGAGAGAAAAATGGAAGAATACAAAATGTAGTGTTTTCAGCATCAAAAAAATAATTTTCACACGTAAGGAGGCCGGTCAGTGTATGCAATATAAAACATTGAACAATTATTTCATTACGTTGATGTGGTGAATGAAAGGATAGTTTGTTGTGCTTAGAGTATTGGCCTATTGTTCCCTTGTTTAAGATCACTAGTCCCAATACGTTCTATCCAATCATGACACAAACCTAGAGTTATGGCCAATTTGCAACTGTGGCTGTCTGATTAAAGAGTCTTGGGTCCCTTTTGTGATTTTGTGACAATATAGGGTGTTACAACAATAGAAGTTGTCTAACTTGTTATCTTCTGAAAGAATGCTAACAGATTCATCAGGCATGACCTCACCTTGATGAAGCCACACGGACTCAGCCCTGTTTCACCATGCACTTCGAAGTACTTCACAGTCTCATCCTTGATAATTAATTCTAAAATGTTACCAACAACTGAGGTCAGGCTAACATCATTTCCCATCTTCTGCCCCTTTCCCATCTTAAACAGAGGTGTTACATTGGCAATTTTCCAGTCCTCTGGGACCCACTCTGACTCCAGTGATTCCTGAAAGATCAGCACCAATGCCTCCACAATCACTTCAGCTATCTCTGTTAGATCTCTGTGGTGTAGTCCATCTGGTCCAGGTAATTTATCCACCTTCAGACCTTTCAGCTTCTCCAGCACCTTCCCCTTAGTGATGGCCACTATACTCCCCTCTGACTCCTGACTCTCTTGAAGTTCTGATATGCTACTGGTGTCTTCCACCTTGAAGACTGATGCAAAGTAGTTTTTGAATCGGAGATAGTAGGAACTGCAGATGCTGGAGAATCCGAGACAACAAGGTGCAGAGCTGGATGAACACAGCAGGCCAAGCAGCATCAGAGGAGCAGAAAGGCTGCCGTTTCGGGCCTAGACCCCTCAACATTCTCCCCACCAATTTCAATCTGTGCCCAGACTCATTTACCTTGTTTCATATACTGTGCTTTTAAGTACAACATCCTCACTTCTGTGTTGACTGCCCACCCTTCTCATTGTTATCTCCTCATCTGCTATGCCTGAAGTTACATTCCAAACTTTTTCTGTGGCATTGGGAGAACACACATTCACGTGTTTGATCTCTGGGTCATTATGAAAAATAGCTTCACCAGTCATAGAATCATAGAATCTCTACAGTGTGGAAGCAGGCCGTTTGGCCCATTGAGTTCACATCACCCCTCTGAAGAGCATCCCACCCAGACCCACCCTAATCCTGTAACCCTGAATTTCCAATGGCTAACCCACCTAACCTACACATCTCTGGACTGAGAGAGGAAACTGGAGCACCCAGAGGAAACCCATGCAGAAACGGAGAAGGTGCAAACTCCACACAGACAGTTGCCCAAGGGTGGAATCGAAGCGGTGTTCCTGGTGCTGTGAGGCAATAGTGCTAACCACTGAGCCACCATGCTGCATCAAGGTCTCAATTATTAAGCATCCCATAATGGTGTACACTCTTGTCAATTATAGAACAGTAAATGCACACAGTGCAAACACTGCTGTACATCATCAGATTCAGAACTCTGCTCCCAACTTTGTTAAATTTAGAAACATCAGTAATATTAATCCAAAGTAGCTTTATACACTTAAAGCAAGTTTATTTGTATTCTTGCTATGGGTTTTAGTTGCTTTGTCATTTATTAATTACGTTCAAACCAGACAGTTCATGGGCATATCAGAAGAGTTTGTCATTTGAAATCTGTTGATTTGTGATTTGTCTTCCTGTTTTAGGCAGTCACGTTAAAAGAAGCACTTTCATCAAAAGGAAGGCACATGAAGAGGAGCGTTAGCACACCAAACGTTCACCATGTATGTATCTCAAAAAATGGCATCGTTCAGCTACATTCTGATTTGATGTTTTTTTTCAAAGAATGGCGCTTGCATGGCTGATCATGTGATTAACAAAACTGCATGTCAGAATCCATAAAGTTATGTTAAAGCAAGAAAAGATGTAACTATTTTGTGGATTGTCAAGTAAGTTTCCAGTTGAAATAGCTTTAGTTATTGCTTTTGTATAAGACTCTGTAAAAACAGGTAATTGTGAAGTAACCTTCCAAGCATTATGAAGTCAACTCCCAGTCTATAGCAGGGTCCCAGCTATTTAAGTATTGGCATATGGAGCACTTGGCATGAAGGCTTTCTTAAGTGAGCTATGGAAGAGATGTTAAAGTAATTGTTTGCAGAAAGACATCAAAGGATTAGGTACAGTACCAATTTTTTTTTTGTAAAAACTTCAGTGGATTTATTTTAAAGATTTCTCTGCACTTTATTTCTGTTATTAGAAGAATCATTGAGTATTTATTTGTGGTGCAGCATATTTTGTCAAATCTTTGTTAACTGTTTCCTTGGACTGGTATCCCATTTACTTGAAAACCTTTCTATCTGACACGGGGTCCAACTAGATATTGAGCAATTATTACTTTTGTAAAGAATTGATCATTTGCATACAACCTTGGAATTGGGATAATTATCTCAATGCTTCAACTCATTCTAATCCTGAGGAGTCTCTTACTTTAGGAAGCCTTTGCTGGTTTTCTGGTGGAGTCTTAGATCATGGAAACGCTCTTTGATCTCATTGATCAGTGGTTGTGAATTCTGTGGGGGAGCTATCAACATTGCAGCTTTTAATTGAGAAACAACTTCATAAAACTCTGCTCTACTGGGCATCCTTGGGAATCCTGTTCTAAGTGGTCACAGAATTCATATTTCTAGATCTAATCCTGCTCAGGCCAACCTGAGAAAACTATTTCTGATCACAGGTACATTCTCCATATGCTAAGATCATGACATCCTCAAATATTATGGCCTAAATCTTCCAGTTAGTGGCAATGGCCAGATCATTACCTGCAGTATTTTTCAGACCTGATGATAAGACTGATTGATTGATTTCTTCTGATTGCAGCTGAAGGAGATATGGCAAGTATGGAGTCTATAGTTCAGGCCAGCATGCATTGGACAGCTGGAGCAAGGAGAGGACATACTCCCTTTTTATGATAATAGTTTCTAAAGGTCTTGCATTTTTTAATGAATGAGCGAGAGTATGGGGGAGTATTGAGACTGGGTTACTGAGTGAATAGCTAGGTTGATGAGTAGGCGGTGAGCACTGGAAATGTGGTTCGGTTGAGAATGGCCCTGGCTGTGTCTGGCCGCTTGATGGATTGGGGATTTCAGGTGATTTAGTTGGGGGATTGGTTGTAATGCTATTTGACCAGTTGTTATAAAACTGTCATTTCCCTGGTAAATATTCAGGTAAGTCTTGCAATCTGATCCAAGTCTATGCCATGGGCTCAGGAAAGGAGACAATTATGAAAAGTCCCAGATAGCAATGAATCAGCCCCATCAAAAGTTTAAATTTCCAATCAATTTCCACATTAGTAAGCGTCAGCACTTCCCGTAGGATCCCGATTGTTCATTTCCCAAATTACATCTTAGCTCCAGCAAACCAGAGCCAGAAATATTCACTGAATAAATCGTGCTAATGTAGACAGCTCCAGTTCAAGTCTAGAAAAGTGCTGGAAAATATTTTGATCAAGTGGCAGCTGTAGAGAAACAGAGGTAATGTTTCAGGTTGGTGACCCTCCATCAGAAACAAAATACTTTTTAGACTAGTTGAGCAACTGTGATGCACGTTGTGAGCAAAGAATATGTGTAATGTTTAAGTGAATAAGGTTTTTTTAATCATGGTACACGGTTATAATTTTTTTACCCATTTTAAAATTATGCATTTTACCCTTTTGTATTTCATCACAAATCATTTGTCCATGTTTGTAATGGAAACTGCACATGGTAGTTGCATCCTCCTGCTAAAGATGGAAGTGTAGGAAGCATGCACAGGTGCAAGATTCTTCGTATATATAAGAGGATGTTTTCATCCCAGGCATGGTTTGTGTTTGTAAATTCCCAGCTGCTACTTACCGATAAACATGACTGCATGCATACTTTGAAGTGTTCAGAGCTGTTGAATATTCAGTTAGCATTTTTTATAAGAATTGACAGGTTTTTTTACAAGGACAAAATGTTTAGGCTGTCAGGCACCTTCTGTTTCTTCCTCCTGGGGAAAGCAATATCTTCTATTTTGAAGTTTGGAGAAGTTACGCTGCTGCCTCTTAAAGAAAATCATTGAAAGCTTGTGGGAAATCAGTTTGAAGCCCATTTCCATCATGTGCCTCAGTTTGCGCAAATGAATCAGACTTTTAAAAATGACATTGCATTTCATTTCTGCTAAGGAATAGGGACTGATTTTTTTTAAAACTGCCTTTTTGGATTAGAAAACAAAGAATTATTTAAAGAAGGACAAGTTGTAACTCAAAGGAATAAGCTTGTTGAAGATTGCAAAATAAGAGCTGATGTCAAGTTAGTAGTATGATACATGTATTGGCTTAATATTTGTGCATGTGCTTCCAAGCCTATAAACAACTGCTTTTTAGACAAGCTGCTAACTTTAGAATCAAGTAAATTTTAGTTGTGTTGCTAAAAATTGTGTCTCGAGTTATAATCTCTAAATTGTTCCCCAACCCATGTGCAAATTGACATAGGAATAAACACAATATGAACGAATTATGTGAGAAAGAGCGTTTCTATTTCTTAGGACAGGAAAGATCTGTACCATGGGAAGGTGCTCCACTTTTATCAACTGGAACCAGAGTCCTGGAAGAAAGCATATATAGGGTAGGCATAAGGAATTTAGAATGGGTGGACAGGTTCAGGCGGTAAAAAAAGTAGTAGTGGCCCAACATCTAATGTATGGGAAGAGATTAAAGCAAAAGTCAGAAATATTGATTTAGCAAGACAAAGATCAAACCAGTAGATCTAAAAGGATTTAAACCACGAGAATTAGATAAGAATTGAGCATCTAAAACAATTGAGCTGAAGGGCAGCTTAAGTATTTTTTTGTCCAAATAAGTGTTCTTCAAACAAAAGCACACTCACCTTGAAGGTTGTAACAGAGTAGCCATTACTGAAACATGGCTGCTAGTCAGTCAGAAATGAGAACTAAACATATCACATTACGAGCCTTTATACAGGAATGAGGGGAGTAAATTATAAAGGCAGGAAAAAAGCCTGAGTTATTGAATTCCTTCAAGATTAAGAGAGGATTATAAGCAAGAGGTGTGTGGTCAGTGGAGACTGTATGGGTAGAAATAAGAAATCGAAAACGATTAAGATTGTAGTTGGAATTTGGTATTCCTGTCAGCAGCTCCAAAATGGTAGATTGCTTAAATGTAGTGGGCAAACATGTAGGAAAGGCAGATTGCTTTTAATGAGCAATTCTAATTCTCTTTTCAATTGAGTTAAGCAAACAAGTGCAAATCAAAAAAGTGAGTTTCTTGTGCCGAGAGTAGTTTTCTACATCCAACAAGACATGTCATATTAGATTTTGTAATAAGCAATGAATCATAATTAGTTGGCAGTACAATAATGCATTAATGAATCAGTTTATCTAATAGAGATCATGACTTGACCCACATGGTGTTAATGAGAGAAATGTGAAACAGTTACTATGATTGTAGATTTAGATGAGACTGACTTTATTGTGATGAGATAGAGACTGCCCACACTAAATTAGGCAAGTCTGTTACCGAGTAAAATGACCAGACCAGCAGTAATTAATGAGGAATAATTCACACCTTTCAGCGACAAGAGTTCTACTTGCCAAAATCAGTCTTGAATAACAAAAAAAACAGATACAAAATAAAACTAAGGAAAAAAAAAAACAAATGCAAAAATAGCGTTGGATCCTGATGAATTGGAAAGTGCAAAGAATAGTAAAGTGAGCTGAGAAAATAGATGGTAAGAGCAGCAGGAAGGAAGAATGGAAAGAGACTTGCAAGGAATGTCAAAATCAACACCAACAAATTTTGATTTTATTCCAAGAAAGGTGTTGTTAAGAGTGGTGAGAGTTCCTTGACAAATGTTATTGTCAATGAACAAAAGCAAATAGTGAGCATACTAAATAATTAAATGAATTATTTTGCATCACTTGTCACAGTGGAGGAAGAGCTTAGCATAGCTGAAATCCTAAGGACAGCAGTATTGAATTGAGAGCAAGACTCACCAAAATTAACATGCGCACAACAGTAATGAAGAAAAGACTTTCTCTGTGGAGTGACAAAACTCCAGAGCCAAAGAGTTTCCATCCAATAAATTTAAAGGAAATTGGGTAAAAACATTACAGTTGTCCAGCTGTAATCTTCCAATATTCTCTTGATTTGAGAATGGTTCCCTTAGATGGAAAATAGCATACCACTGTCCTTTCAAATGATGAGGGGTGAAGCCAGCAAAGTCAGGAGCATTAGAGTCTATAATTATGAGTACAATAACTGAAGTCTTTGAAAATTTTCAACTGATCAGCAAGCCAGCATGTAGTTTTAAAGAGTAGCTCATGACTGAGGAACCTGATTGAATTTTTCTTTTGAAGAAGTGGCTTAAAGCAAAAGTCCATGAGTGTTTTATGTCTGTTATTTTTCCAGGCTTCTGGAAAGCGTTTGATGAAATTCCTCGCAAAAGTTTATAAGACAAAGATGAAACCTGTTGGATCTGAAAGCAAATTTTTGATCTAGCTAGGAAATTGTCTAATTACAAGAGACAGACAATAGGTATAATGAACACACAGTCCACTAGTATCCCTCGAAGGTCTACATTGAGTTATCAATGTAGGTTGATTTATTAATGAGTTAGAAAGCCGAATTAAAAACCACATATCCAAAGTTAAGATGAAAAGTACTCTAAAATGTGTAGATTGTAATATTAATTTCTATAACATATAAAGTGGACAGCAAAACTATGACCAATCTATTTTGGAGCTAAAA